ACACACTTTCGTTAGAAATTTCAAACTTATACTATATCCATCATTTTTTTGTGCTGAATTCATTTATGTAATGAAAACTATAGCATTGCCTTTAAAATTTTTGAGAAAAATCCATAAAACGGCATCTATACGTTCATATATTGAGGTAAATGACATTAAGCATTCAACAAAATGTTAATAACATAAGTTATGCGTAATGAATCCGGCTATCCATATTTGTACTATTTAATATACCTGAATAGGAAACATTTCTGAGAAAAATTCAACTCTATGTTTTGGTATGTAGATTGCGCCCCCTAGAAACTGAGCTAGGAACTTGAAAACTATTTCCAGCGATTTCTCTTGGTTGATTTATTATTCAAATATTTTTCCCGAAGTTCTAGGGCCTAAACTTTCCCTAATATCGCACCACGCCGACCTTAATATAAAACTAGTGTAAATTACTTATATTATTATTTTTTAAAGCTGCTTCTCACTCTACTAAACTTATTATTAGTAATAATATTTTGTACAAGTTATCTGCAAAAATGAATTACTTACTCGTCATGAGAATTTCCATTTCAAAATCTACGAAGTACAAGTAGGTAAGTGGACGTTGACTAGACCAATTTATCCTCTACTGATTTGACCTGCTGAATTTGAATCTAAAGTCTAAATTTTCTAATTGGTTCGCGTTTTGACCCTAACGTCAAGAAAATGCTCCAGAAAGCGGATTTTGAGATTTAAAACCGCCTTGAACAGTCAGTGATTCGAAAAATATCGAATTTCATGTTCTTATTGCACCATCGTCTCATATCCCATAATACCATAATCCAAAATTTCAGAATCATAATTCTATATAACTCCGCCATCTTATTACTTGGGATATACAACCTCTATAAGCTTATGGTTTGAGCCTGCGTACTTCTATCACCTGTCAAGTTATCTGGGGCTTTTTTTCTTTACATAGTACTTATTATTTGAAGTTTGAACTTTGGCGACTCATTCATTCTCTCATTTCATGATTTCGAGCTCTCTACTTCTTGAAAGATCTGTGCAATAATTCTCTTACGGTTTCAATTTCTTTCAGGCAAATTTCTTGTTACCTATCATTAGTAAATAAGCAAGGATGTGTTTATTTCACCTGCCTTAATTGCGTTGATATACATCCTCCTGCATTCAAAACTCAATGAGCGTAAATTCATATGGTTTTATCATTCACGTGCTCACAATTTCAGTGAAGTTATTCTCATCCTCACAGTACTTATGATTGAATATCGTTTTGAAGTCCAATGTTACCGAATATCTCGATTTGTTACCACTGCATCTCCACGTGGTGACGGCGGACAAAGGATACATTCCCAGTATCATTTATCTAGGTACATTCCAGAAAGGTTCCTGGGGAGAGAGAATATAAGCCGTCATGGACGGGAGACCACAGAAGAGCCAATAAAAATACCTGTTCCATAGAACTCATTTTCTTAACTATTAAAATAATAAAGCAACTATTTAAAGGAGAGCGCGAACAGCATTGTGTGCGATTGACAAATACGACTGATTTTGTAAAAGACCGCGATCAGTTCAGTCCAGAACGGTCCGCGACCACCTAATGCGTTCCCTCCTTTAGGGTGCAGGTTATCGGGAACCCAGTACCAGTAGTTTGTGATGCAGATGGCGATGATGGTGTTGATGCGGATGACGATGCTGATGTTCATGTAACAATGAAGATGAGGACGACGATAAGGATGATGATGAAGGATTATGTTGAAGAGAATAGTGATGATGATGACGACGACTATGATGGTGATAATGATTATGATTACGATAACGATTATCATAACGATGATAATCATAATGATGTTACGATGATGGTGATACTGTTGGGGTATTCCCTTATGCGTGTCCACTTCTTTTCTTTGGTAAGATTTTTGCTGCAGATGACAAAATAACCATTCCTCGATGGAAATTAATAAACGTCAGGCAAAACATGAATATAATTTCTGTACTTATGCCCTTTTTCCGTATTGGGACCGAGATGTGTCGTTATTTTATCGTTCAGAACAGGAAACGGTCCTTCCGGGACAATATTATGGCGAAAAAACGTAATTTGAGCCTTTCAAGATTTTTGTCGCCGCATCTGAATCGACTTACAAGTTGGAATAGATGATACAGGCTCCATCTACCGATAGGTAGCTGTACTTCAATTTGTAAGCTCTCGACTACCAAGCGTTTGAAAACGTTAATATTCTCGTTAAAAACTTTATTTTTCCAAAAGGAAATAATAATTTTTTTATATTTAATTTACTTTCATATACTAAATATAGGTACCAAAGTTTTTTGTCGAACTCAACTCGAAATACAGGGTGTCTCATAATTAGCTGCCAACCCTGAACAGGCCGATTCTATGATCAAAANTTGAGGTTAGGAAAAAATTGTGACGTGATGGGCCAATTCTGACCCAGATTCGTGTTCAGGAGGCCAAATTACTACGAAAAATATATGTCGCATAAAAAGTATACCCAACTTTTTTTTCTGTGTGGCTGTGAATTAAATTAATTTTTATAGACATAATTATTTATGAATTTCTGTTGCTCATGTTAACAAGATAATTTTCTTATTTATTATTTTTTATTTTTTCATTAAAAAATTAATTATTTTATAGCGGATTGAACATTAGGGACCACAAAAATAGTTATTTTTCCCATTTTTAAGGCAAATTTTTCAATCTTTTTGTCGGATAAGTATATTATCATATTACACATTTCAATTATTAAAGAAAAAAATTAAAACAATAAGATACTTTCTTTTCAAATTTTATTACCAAACCCTCCCAGAAAAATCAGCTTGCTGGTTGTCACTAACCATAATGTCACCAAATCGACATATTTGAGGTGGGGACAAACTCAAAATGCCAAAATTTTTGTCGGACAAATTTTTTGGGGAGTTTAAAAAAATAGCTTTCATTTAAACTTAAAAAAAGTGCTGGTCATAACATTCCATGTTTATCCAGATTGACATGTTTTCCTGAAAATCACGAGAAAACTTACCACTGTTGAATTATCCTCGTAGTCAAATCTTGGGAGACTCGTAAAACTTAAGCTGCACGCAAAGTTAGAGCTTGCTGGTAATCATTTTTTTTTGTACGTGGCCCGTGGACTACTAGGGTCGTCCTATAAAATGAAAACTTTTTTAGCGAAAATTTTTAAACACCATTAATTTTAAATTAACTTCGTCAATAATGAAATCAATCGTTTAATAGTAAAGGTATTGAAGACACTAAATTTTACTTGTCTGTTAAACAGAGTGAGAAAATAAAAATAAAATATATTCAAAATGACCGCTACTACCGTAATTTGTTTACATAAAACAAGGTTTTAATACACTTTTCAAAACAAAATTCATTTCTTTTCTGACGCGACGCTATGAAATAACTTAAAATAAGTAGTACCTATTTAATTAGAGCAAAACTGTACTACGTAGTTTTTCGGACACCTCCTCTATTTAACACATTGTGATAGCAATGATAAATGATTATTTACACAGCTAACTACGTTAATTTTAAAATAAAGGAAGGAATATAATAGCATGACAATTCAAAAATTATAACTTAAACAATTTTACTATAAAACTAATATCCTACTGAGCTATAAAAACTTTAAGATGCTTATGTTTTTTTCTAATTATCTACGAGGTATATCCATCCACAAAGTAAGAGTACTGAGACTTTGATGCTCTATGGCTTTTGTTTTCGAGAAAGTTGGCATTCAATGCCAAGATATTGTGAGCAGAACGCGCGCTCATTTGTTTTGGTCAGTTGAGAACTGTTGTTGTAGTGGCGTGTTGAAAAAATGAGTACCCCTATTTTGAATCCATCCAGCTGCGAGGTGAGGAGCATAATCCGGTTTCTTCTCACAAAGAGAAAGCCGCTGTTGCAAATTTTTAGCGAAATCAAAACTGTTTATGGAGTGATGAATCGTACTATTATGTACAAGTAGTATCGTGAGTATAGTTTTCTACCGATGACGAAGGCCATAGTGCCATGAAACAATGGCCGGTGGGAGATTTTTTTGACAAAGTGATCAGAAAGCTCATTTATCGGTTCACAAAGTGCATTGAAGTTTAAGGCGACTAGGTCGAAAAATAGTGTTTGTTTTAGCCTTCTGAATATGTAGGTATCCTTACTTTGTGGATATGCCTCGTAGTTAGACACGACTTTATTAAAAAAACGTTCATAAAATTCAACCATAAAACTACATATTAGCAAATATTTCATTTCATCATTTAAACTTTACTATAAACCCATTCGTTTCCAAGATTTCTGTACTAAATATCATCCCGATGTGTGACTCGAATGTTTATGGACATTAATATTCAGTATTTGAAAGTAATAGTTTCTAAAACGTTACAGGTTTAGTTTGGTAAAAGCAAATATTTTCAAATCATCTAACACACCATCCATCTATTTCTTAGAAACGTGATGGTACGAAAACTAAGAATCTTAACTACTTTAGCAAATAAATTTTAAGTTAAATACATAATTTTATTGTTCTTCGCTTAGTACCTCCTAGATGGTTTTTGGAAACAGGTGTTTAAAATTTCAATAAGAGGATAATTATTAGAAAAGTAAACTTAAACATACCTAAAAGATCTGTTTGGTGTCAATTAGAACCTTAAAAATTTACATTTTGACCGAATGTAAGAAGTTGACACATGATTAAAAGATATTTTACTAAGTAGTCATAATAAAATATTTATATTTTTTATTGCATATAAAAAAAAAACTATTAAAAGCCGTCTTTTTCTCTACTTACGATGTACATCCACAGCTAAGTTCTCGACAGGGTGTCCCACGATTAAGCGTACATTATAAAAAAAAAGTATACAAAAATTTCGAATTCATTTATTCATTTTATGGTCACGTATCAAAATCATTGAAAACTGTTGCTTCTTTTTTAATCTCAATCACAAATATGTTCTATATGTTGCAAAATAAGTTATAAAACTATTGAATTTTGTTTCAGCGCCAAAACCACCTAGCAGAAGGTCAAGGAAGCCTGGATTGGACAGAAAACCCCGCCAAGCCTACAGTGCCAAGCAACTGGAACGCCTGGAAAGCGAGTTTAAAATCGACAAATATTTAAGTGTCAGTAAAAGAATGGAGCTTAGTAAAGCTCTAAATTTAACGGAGGTTCAAATAAAGACTTGGTTCCAAAACAGACGAACAAAATGGAAAAAACAGTTGACGACACGACTGAAGATGGCCCAAAGACAAGGACTCTTTCCTCCTCACTATTTTGCATCTAATAGTCAACAGTACGCTGCTTTATTCTCCCCTTATTACGCACCGTTGGGTTGTGTGTTGAACTCGTCAACAGCAGAAAACCTATCAATATCAACGGATACTTCGAGAAGGAGTTCATGATTCAAATTGTCAAAAAACAATGCATAAATAAATATTTTAATTTATAAAACTGTTATATTGGCCTCTTTATTCATGGCATTTTCTAAAATGGAGTTTCCATTTGAAACGACGTACAACTAAATGAATTAAACAAATTTTCCAACTAAAAATTTTTCGTAACCCCAACGATAACTCCCGTTCCAATAAAAACTCCCGTCTCAAAATTTTTTTAGACACGTTTTTCAGCCACTTATGGGTGAAATTTTAAGGTTAGGAATAAACTATAGTTATAGTCTATTTAGAAATGAAAGAGAGTAATAAAAGCTTATTATGTATGCAAATCGTAAATAAATGTAGTACTGGTGCTTATATTCAATATTTTTATATTATGTATTATCGGTATAGATGAGGTGTACTTTTAAAAAAACTTTGTGTGACCGGGTTGTACTAAATTGTAGCAGGTAGCTAAAATTTAATCCCCGACAATCCGTCTTTGTCTATGCCGCTTCAATTTCTCGGTCCATTTCTCTTATAAGTAAACAATATAAAAACAGCATTTCAAAACATGAGGCTACTTTAAGCATCATAACCGGGTTAAGAGGGTTTTTAGTAATTCAAATAAAATTATTCAATATTATTATCAAAATATTTATTTAAATTTAATGAATAGACTTTTATTCCACACAAAAATATATGTATTTTGAAAATTCAAATTATGGTGAGTAAATGTAGTGTTGTATAAATGTACAATAAAGAAAATAAAAAAGTAGGTATATTAAAATTCATCCTCTGAATATTCTGATGAATTATCTTCGTCTCCTAGATTGATAACGATAGGTTCCACAGTAACGTCAATTAAATTATCGAGTTCCCACATTTTCTCCTCTTCTTTTTGTACATGATGTATACATCTTTGCCAGTTATCTGCAGTTACTCGTTCCAAGGAATTTTTTAACAAAATTTTCACGTCACTTAATTTAAACGTCGTATTATTTCGCGCTACATCTCCTTTTACCTGCGCCCAGACTAATTCGATTGGGTTAAGTTCACAGTGATAAGGTGGTAACCGTAGTACCGTTATTTGGCGATTTGTTGCCATTTCATCGATAACATATTTTTTCTGATCTTTATTAAGATTGACAAGTGTCAAAAGTTCCTTTTTCACCATATTTGTTTCAAAAGAAATGTTTTTTCCGGATAACCATTGAATTATATCGGCTTTCCTCCAAGCAGTCGTAGGCGTCCGCTCGGTCTGCCGTGAATGGTAACTGGCATTATCCATGACAATTACAGACCCCGGAGGAATAAGATCCAACATCTGTGTAAAATACTCTTCGAAAACATCTGCGTTCATGTCTTCGTGATAGTCACCTGTATTTTTAGATTCAAATAAAAGTAAACCGCCATCTACAAAACCACTGGCACTACCTATATGTGTCACTATTAATCTTCGCCCTTTACCTGAAGGTGCCTTGAACCCTGTTGAAAGTCCATCCAAAAATGCTTGTCGAAAACTTTTTACATTTTTATCTTGCCATACTTTTGTTACAGTATATCCCTCGTTGACCCAAGTTTCGTCTAGATAATAAATATTCCTCCCTTCGTCACGGAATTTTCTAATTGATCTTAAGTAGGATCTTCGCCAACAAATAATTTCATCTTTATCGATAAGAACTGACTTCCTGTTCTGCTTTTCCCAGCAAAAATTCAACTCTCGTAAGACGGCCCATAATTTGCTTCTACTGATTTTTGGCAAATCGTTGTCCTCTGAAAGTTCACTTAAAATTTTGTTTAGCGTTGGTATTTCTTTTTTAAAATAAAATGAGTGTACTTTTCTGCGAATGACATTTTTGAAGAAATCATCTATAACGACTTTTGACCTCCCTGTAGATGATTTTGGGGGATTTACAGTATCTTGTTCATTTTTTGTTTCCTTTAAAAGTCTGTAGATAGTCGATTTTCCAATCCCTGTCATTTTTGTTAGCATTAGTGTTACCCGATAATTACCTGAAACGAAATATTACCACGCCCATGGCCGGTTCTTATCTCGGGGTTTTATTACTCTCTTTCATTTCCAAACAGACTATAGTAATTTTTTTGGAACATTACTTTTATTTCTTTCATGTTGGTAATTAAATTTCGGTAAAATTAAAAATTATTAAAACAATACGACCAGGATCACATTGAAACGCAAAATTATGTTTGATCGGCTGTGATTGGTGCAATTTTACACGATATAGTATTCTACCAATCAACGATCGCATTATCTCGAGCGTAGACGTAACGATTTATCATTGGTCATTATTACTAGTACCAATGGTGCAGTGTTGAGTCATGTGGCTCGTAAACATTTATAAAGGGTCTGTACCCAACCTATTTTGAATAAGATCAATTCACGGCCTACAAAAAAAAATTTTTTTTGGTTTTTAGATCGGACCTACCATTTTTTCCAGACTTTGATTTGCTCAAACCAAATTTGGATTGAATATGCAGTTATTTATCTGAGTAAATGGAAATATGAAAAATACCGACTCTATCCCGATTTTAATTTAGATAATACTAAAAGAAGGTTACATTGTCAAAAATTTTGTGCAGTCAACTGATTTTGTATTTGTATTGAATTCATTATTCACTTAATTATTAAATATTAAGCATCGTCCATCGACCCATCAGTGTTAAAAAGTGAAAGATTCCAGACAAAAGGTTTTTATTTTGTAATTCCACGATCGTGTCAGTGTAATTTTTATAAAGAAGTAAAAAATAAGAATAGCGTGCTGATTACATTATAAACGAGATTCTTATTTCTCACTTTGCTTAATTTTTTAGTTCGTTTAGTTTTACAATGAACCGAGAAAACAATGCATTTACTATTTCCGAACGTGTCGATATGGTGTTAGTGTATGGTGCAGCTAGAGACAATGCGCTCGCGGCGACTAGGTTGTACCGGGAACGATGACCACAACGTCACCCCCCATGTGCAAATAGAATCCTATAGTGCGTTCAGCGACTGCGAGATACGGAAAGTGTTGTTCGTCGAGGAGAAGGACGTGATCAGCAAGTGAAGAGAAAATATTTTGATCCATATTTGAAATTTCACTTACGAAAAGAATACGCAAAAATAGGACTTTTTCGTATAAGACTTTTCTATTGCAAATATCATTAGGAATCTGTAGTTTAATTTTTATAAATTATACACGCCACACCCTGTACAGAATTTTTAGAAAAATTATTTGAATTTAATTAGAACCTACCTTTTAAAATAAAGCAAAAATAAGGTTTTTTTCTACTGAAATGCTGAAATATATATAAATAAAAAAGCCTGAAAAGTGGTATGATGTAGGTATGGAAAATTGTAATCGTTTGTAAATTAAGTAACTGTTTTAAAGTTGTACCGTATCAAATTGTAAAAATAACAGAAACAACTTTGAATAAATTATTTGGGAAAATAATGGGAAAATTTTATATCCATTCAAATTACTTTCCTGTTACGGAACAAAGCATCTAATTTTGCTTTAAGTGGTATCATATTCACATTGTTAAAACTATTACACTTAATTTAATCCGAAATAATGTGTTAAAGTAGGTAATTGCAATTGTTACTTTCGATCTATTATGGCTCTGTTTGGACTCTAGCTTTATTAAAATACTTTACATTTATTTCCTTACCTATCCTTATGATCAGCTACTTTTGCCATGGCAGTTATATTGGATATTTTCCGACCTGATAGTTCTGACATAAGCTTGTTAGGGACAGAACAGTGGCCGCGTTTTTTTTACCTGAGACCTCAGTTAATCTCCTTACTTGACCAATCACATTCAGGATAGTTGAAATCTCAGGTAAATAATACACTGCTGTTGTTTGAGTCTGGTAACATTAAACATTTTTTTTTCATTTGATTATTTAAATTATGTACCTATTGTAGATATTCTAATAAAACTAATAGTGACAATTTCATTCCATTTATCTACGAAAAACGATAATAGTACTATCAATAGTGACAACTAAAGCAAGAGGTGATAAGGTTAATTTTATTACTAACTTAACAATGAGAATAATGGCAATTAAATTGTTGAATGCTGACTTGTTGATTAACAGTTTATTATGAAGTTATTGCCTGGAGACTTAATTATGTCAGATCGGCAGATTTAACAAATATAACCTGTTGTTACAGATATTTATATGCAATAAAAATTATTAATTGACTTAGTAGTATATTATACAGGGTGATTCAAAATTAAGTACAAAGAATTTAGGGGCATATTTTTGAAACTTTTTTTTTCTTATAAACGTGGGTCCAGAAATGCTTAGTTTTCGGTATACACGGTGTTAAAGTTTTTATTTTGTTCGATTTTTTAGGATTCATTTCCAAACAGATTTGAATGTTGGCATAAAAGTTGATGTACGGAGGTTTTTTAGGAAGCTAAATTTAAATACGTTACTGCTAATGACGCTGTTTGTAGAGGGCGCCATCTATAAGGGTACGCTTGAATTAAATTGGACTTAATTTTGCGTTGATTAATGACAATACTACTGTTTATATTAGTCAGCAGTGATTTTCTCGAAAACGGTTAATTGCTAAAGAGTTAAAATTCAAGATCATTCCATTACTGATTAGATGGTAAAACTAAATTTTAAACTTTTTCTTCGTAAATAGTTAATAAAATTTGAAAATATGGTGTGCATATAACTTCATCAGCCAATATCTCGAAAATAGTTGGTCCGACGGATTTCGATCAAGTATACCTTTTTTTCTCAAAATTGATAGGGGAATAAACGTACTAATACGAAACGTCAATATACATTCAATTCAAACGTACCCTTATAGGTGGGGGCCCTCTACAAACAGCGTCAAAAGCAATTGCATATTTAAATTTAGCATCCTAAACCCCATTTGTGGTTTATACCAATACATTTTGGCGTACCCCAAGGTTCCATACTTAGCCCCTTATTATTTTCTATTTACATTCAAGTTTTAAATATATGTAATATTCATCATGAGAACTGGATTTTTAACGAGATT